AATGGCCTTTACTTACTACCTTGAAGCAGCTGCGCGGGTTTTTGGGTTTAACTGGGTTCTATCGAAAGTTCGTCCAAAGTTATGCTGCCATTGCTGCCCCTCTCACTGACATGTTAAAAAAAGATGCATTTGAATGGACTGAAGAAGGCCGCCAGACATTTGATAACCTCAAGGTGGCAATGACATAGGCCCGTTTTACGTCTCCCTGACTTTGAGTCGGAATTTGTACTGGAGACAGACGCGTCTGGTTTGGGAATGGGTGCTGTTCTTTTACAAGATGGACACCCGATTTGTTTTTTCAGCAAGAAATTTTGTAACCGGTTGTCAACGACGTCTACGTACGTCCGAGAGCTGCACGTCATAACTGAAGCGGTGCGAAAATGGAGGCCTTATTTGCTGGGAAGAAACTTCACAATACATACTGATCAACGAAGCCTTAGGGAACTCATGACGCAGATCATTCAGACTCCAGAACAACAGTACTACTTGTCCAAAATCTTAGGGTATGATTATACCATTGCTTATAAGCCAGGTGCATTCAATCGTGTGGCTGATGCCCTCTCTCACGTGGATGTTCCGTCTGCAGAGTAGCTGGTCATCACGGTGCCCAATTCGAGTTCATTTCCAAGCTGAAGGATTCCTATCACAGTGAGCCTGATGTGCAACGAATTTTGCAACAGTTGGAAACTGACCCTCATTCTCATCCTCACTTGAGAGTCGTGCATGGTGTGCTGTTAGACAAAGATAATATTTTCATTCCATCCAATTCTCCACTTAAATAGTTGCTCTTACTGGAGTTCCATGCTTCTTCTTTAGCTGGGCATATGGGGATCAGCAAGACCATGGGGCGTTTACAAGAGAATTTCTACTGGCAAGGTATGAAATATGATGTAGTTACATTTGTTAAATAGTGTCTGGTGTGCCAACAGGTAAAATCTTCTACTCAAGCACCAATTGGATTGCTGCAACCAATTGAGATCCCAACACGCGTATGGGAAGACGTGTCCCTGGACTTCATAGTGGGGCTTCCTTTTTTCCAAAATCACACAGTGATCTTAGTGGTGGTCGATCGCTTCTCTATGGCGACACATTTTGGGATGCTTTCTACCCATTTTACAGCGGCCAAGGTGGCTAATATGTTTGCTCAGCAGCTTTGTAAACTACACGGTATGCCGAAGAGCATGATTTCAGACCGCGATCCCATAGTTTTGAGTCATTTTTAGCAAGAGCTCTTTAGATTCAGTGGCACCAAGCTACGCTTATCAACTGCATACCACCCCCAAAGCGATGGACAGACGGAGGTAGTTAATCGCACGGTCCAGCAATACCTTCGATTTTTTGTTCATGAGCAGCCTCGCCTGTGGGGAAAGTTTCTTCATTGGGCGGAATGGTGCTACAACACCACTGTCCATTCATCGACTGGTATGACACCCTTTCAGGTTGTCTACGGAAGGGAACCCCCAACTATCCCAGCCTATACTTTGGGTAGCAGTTCATTAGAAGCTGTGGAGGCTGAGCTCGAAACAAGGGAGATGATCCTAACCAAGATTAAACACCGTTTGTTGAAAGCTCAAGAAAGCGTGAAAAAGTCTGCTGATCAACACCGCCGGCATCATGAGTTCCAAGAGGGGGATTGGGTTGTGGTGCGACTCAAATCGTATCGTCAGACGTCGGTGGCAAGAATTCGTTCCCAAAAGCTAGCTAAACGTTTCTATGGCCCATTTCAAATTGTGCGTTGTATTAACCCAATGGCTTTCGAGCTGGGCTTACCACCAGGGTCTAAGATTCACCATGTTTTTCACGCATCTATGCTTAAGCCTTTTCACGCTGCTAATGCAAGTATCCTTGATCAGCCGCTGCCTCTCCCGAATGATGCCATTGACAATAAACCCATTGTGCAACCCTTGATCGTGTTAGGTGTGCAACCGGGATCTGAACCTACTATGACTAAGGTCTTAATCCAATGGTCCAATGGCAAGGCTTGTAACTGGAAGATGCTTCTTTGGAGCTGTTGTCTGATGTGCAGCACGCATACCCTGACTTCCACCTTGAGGACAAGGATTGTCTTGATGGGGGTAGGGGATGTTATGAGCCCACAACTTGAGGAATCTTTGGGCCAGGAGGCTGTAAGCGTGGCCCATGCAGGTGAAGACAGAGACGAGGTTGTTCCAGAAGATGGGCTGGATGAACAGGTTACCACGAGCTAGGTGGGCCAAACGTCAGAAGAATAAGCCAAAGTGGATGCGTGACTATCATGTGGCTTAAGACGAGGGATGTTGAATGTTCTAGAAAGATTGCATAGCTATAATAGTTAGTTAGCGAGGATATCGTTGCATTGTTAGCAGCTAGCCGTTGTTTATTTTCCTTGCATTCTGTTATGCTTGTTGAAAGAGGTGGTGATCACCTGACTGTGTATAAAGGCACCATAGTTCTTCCATTAATGAATAAGCAATCTTCAGTATTTCTTTGTTAGTTTTTCTTTGTATTTGAAGGAGGTCCCTCACCCTCGAAGTGAGATTTTATCAGATATTTTTTTTATATTTATGGTAATCTTCAAAAGGCATATTTACATTGCTAAATTCTTGACTAACTTAGAAATGGCATAGACTTGATTCTTATGAAAGAACAATTTTTAAAGAAAGTGAATTAAAATTTTGTAAATAAAGAAATATATATATATATATATATATAAAATTAAAATAAAAAATATATAACTTTGTAAAGAAACTAAAATTATATATATTTTAAAATTTACCATCAAAGTGTGATTATATACTAAAGTGAAATTTGGATTTAAAATTTGAGATATACCCTAATTCCTGATTCGGTCCATCCCTGATTTTAAGCAATATGCGCTTAATTATGTCCAAATCCAACCGATAGGTGATCGAGAGTCAGTCCTGCTAAGTGCTAATAGTGTTATAGGCCTTGATTAATTAAAATTTGAATTTAATTTGCAATTTTTATGCATTTAATTCATGTATTTTTTGCATTATTTTTATTTTTATTTAATATTTGCACCGAAAGAAATTAATATTATCTCCCCAAAATATGCTCAAAAATCCCATGTGATCAATCTTTTATAATTTCACCAGCCAAACTTATTTCTACCGATGTCTATCTATATGTCAATAGTTTGAAGATGAATCTGCTGCCACTGACTCAATGGCAAAGTGGCAATGCTATGGATCGATAAGAATGGTTAACTTCATAACCAGTTATGCACATAATTGCAAAATTATACAGGAACAGGAGTATATACTGTTCATCATCATAGTCTAATTTATCTTAAGCATGCTAGTCTTTGTACATCTGGCAGATATATTAAATAAGGATATAGATAGCAAAGATAAAGCTTTTGGCATTAGAACAATTAGTACACTACTATATTTGAAAATACCAATCATGATTTATAGCCTGGAAAGGATCTATTGGATACCCTCTTCTAATTGAATGCTCTGGAATCTTGATAGTGGATACCAAAAAGTAAAAGCTTATTAATTTTTGCTCCGAACTAATCAAAATTAATTGAGCTGAACCTAATTGAGTGTCATTGCTGTTTTTTATAAATGAATATCCATGTGCTACTACTCTTCATGATAATATCACGCAGCCTGGACCAGAAGCTAGAATGAAAATTGGAATTTTTCAAATACAGCATATACTAATTGTTTTTCAATTCAATTAAGTTAGACTCAAAATTGGAATTTTAATTCTAATATACACAACAATTTAAATTTCATGCGTAAAAAAAAATGGCACATACTTTGAGAGGATAACCATGCATGAATGAAAATAAGTCGTAACGCTGCTTGTTCCTCCTATGCAACTGATGATAGAATTTGTAAGTTGGAAGAACTTAGCGCTAATATGCCATGGAATACAAATTGAGTCATTTAGTATTTTCATATGCTATATACAACATATCATATACTGATGATATAATTAAGATTTTAATGTTTATTATTTTTTATGCCTATATACTCTGTAAGTGTAAACCATTATCGTTGTCATATTTCGTTCACCAATTTTGTAAACAGACACCTCTGATCAGTGTCGTTGCTGGCATTGCTACCGTACGTCTTTCAACCACTGTTGCCATTGGCGTTGTTCCACCACATTTGTTTCTATGTTCCAATTAAATTCAAAATTATGATTCTATATTGTTCTAAACATGAAAATCAGTATTTTAACCAATTTCAATCATGACAAAATTAAAAATCAAATTAAATTATAATTATATGCAAAAATTCCTAAATAGTAGAGGTGTAAATGGTCCGCAGGTCTCACCAATCATTATATTTAATTTGAACTAATATATTTAATAAAATAAAATAAGCTTAGACCTAAAAATTAACTTATTTAAAAAATCGGCTTTAAAAGTTCTAACCTACAAGCTTATAAACCAGCGTATATTGTATTTTATTATTTTACTTTAAATAAAAAATAAAAATACTATTTAAATAATAAAATATTTTTTTTTTCTTAATAGGCTAGTCCAAGTTTTAAATTTTTTAAAAATAAATAACGTCAAACCGGTTATTTAACTTACATCAAATCAATAAACTACGTTGGACTCAAAATATTCTGAACCCATGGCAATAAAAAAAAAAAAAAAAAAAAAAACATAGTCATGGTCCATGGAGCAAAGTTTAATATGAGTAGTTGTATGAACTTAAAAATAAAAATATTTGTAATAAGAATAAATGTGTTACTCTTATTATCTTTGAAAAATAACATGCATTGCAAAAAGAAGCAACCTGCAGTTCATTTTGATTTTTGGCACCAGAAATCAACTTTTTTATTTTAGCTTCAGCAATCAACATCATCAATTACGTTGATGTTTTAGCTAGAGTTTGGTCTCTCCATAAAATTTAATCAGTGAAAACTAGCAGTGAAAAAAGAAAAAAGACATTTTCTTCTTCCAGCAAACTACTGTGATTAGTCTAAAATAAAATCAAAATGACCACCTAACAGAGGTTACTAGTGGAATTAGCTAGTAAAACAATAAAAAACAAGTTGATAAGGCATTTGTCACTGCATGCATGTTAACAAAAAGAAAATGGGAATACAACATTGTCAACTAGAAACTAGGATGACTAGATTGAGGTTTTTATCAGGAACTAACTTATAAATAATGTCTCTAAAATCGGGATTTTGGTACATTCAAAATCCACCAATACGTGGCCACGCCTATCTAGCTAACAAAAGTACTTTGCCATAATTCTACAAAAGGCAAGGACCCAACTACAACGTAAGCTGGGGTGGAGAGGGCCTTCGATTCTTCTCACGAGTCATCAAACTTGAGAACATTAAAGAATTAGGCACCACGGGACATTTTCATCCTTGGCATTGCCTTTTTCATTTGACGAGCACGCTCTTTTGCTTCTTTCTTTCTAATAGCCTCTGCACCGAGCTTTGCCTCAGCCTCCTCCATCATTTTTTTCCTCTCTGCCTTTCTTCTCTGCATGGCCTCTTGTTGGGCATTTCGGAGTTCTTTTTGTGCCTCTTGAGCAGCCTTTTGTCTGGCAGCCTCTGTCTTAGACCGAGCCTGAATTATGCACACCAGTCAATCAAGGACCAAAGCATAACATGCTCATAAATCACAACCCAAGCAATCATTGGTAATATATCATACAGCAATTTCACGCACCTGGGAACTTAATTTATATCTTCCGATCAAGTCAATATAATACGGAACAAGGGCCACGAGTCGAGTCATATCAGCCATGTTTTTAGCAGCTGGAAGCACAAACTTGAACAACAATACCTTCTTGTGTATGCCAGGGTGCTGGTCTGAGAAATGCAATGAAATCAAACCTTTTCCAAATTTCTCAAAAGCTTTGTCACCAAAAACCTGCAGTATATCAATAATATCTCATTTTGAGTCCAATGAATAAAACTTTAACTATGACGGAATGAAAATTGTGTCAATGATCCAAGACATGCATTTTGCATAACAAACTTTAAACTTGACAAAATCCGGAATATGATTGCATGTATTAAGTGAATCCAAGTGTAATAAGTACTTGACAGCAAATTGAAAAACCTGTGCATGGCCAGTTCATAGATATGGCATCAAGAGAATATAGAAGGATTCCAAGTTACATCAGAGAAACAACCATATGAAGTGTTGAACAAGATACATAATATTCTTCATAAAATCATAGGATATATAATTATAGTTAGTAGCAGTCCTGTTTTAGCAATCTCATCTCAACAAGTAACACAATAGACCAAAATAAATACAAAGATAACAATTACACATAATAAATTTGAATAGCTTAAATAAGGTTTAAAGCTTCAACTCAGACTTTCACCTTGGCCTATAGGATATATTATGCATTAGGGTGTTTCATGTGTTTTGCAACCTAGCAAAAAAGCTAATGATTGCTCTGCCTCTTCAAATAAATGACAGCAGTCAACAAAGAGAAATAGAATACAGACAATAAGAACAATGACTAATGGGTATCCTGAGGGGGACAAAGGATAACATAAAAAGGTCATCTGATGGATTGAATAAATAGTATTGATCAATAAATATCATAACTTTTCTATCAAAGAATAAATATCATAAAACATTTTCCAGAATGAATAATGCTCTATAAGCTTTTGGACCTTAGCTTTCAGGGAGAATGCATGTATCAATTAGAATCTGAATAGAGAATTCATTTTACATCAAGTGAATAAAGATAGGTCAAGACAAAACTTGTAGAAAACTATTTCTCTTCTGTTCTCTCTCCTTATGCAACAAATTAGTACTTATTTCATTTATATATGAAGGTATTAGGAGTGTGCAAAAAAACCCAAATGAATCGAACTGAACTGTGAACTGATCCAAATTGCACCAAAAGAATTACATTTTTTTGAACTGGTCCAAGAACTGAACCATTTTATTCAAACTGTTTAAGAAAAAACAGTTTCATTCAAGAACCAAACCACTTTAGAAATTCGGTTTGGACTAAAATCTGAACCGAACTGAACCATAACCATTTTTAGGAGTGTTAGAAAAACCAAATGAACTTGAACTAAACCACGAATGTAATTGAACTGCACCATATTTTTCCAAACTGGTTTAAGAACCAAACCATTTTTCAAAGTCGGTTTGATTCGCCCAAACGAGCCACTTTTCTAATTCGGTGTAGAAAACCGAACCGAACCGTGAGTAGAAGGTATTAGTTTCTGTCCTTTATACAGACATGATATCAACTATGACCTTCTTACATAGCTAAAACTTCTAATTATGATCAATGCAATACGGATACCGTGTCGGAACTAAAGCAATCATATATCATCATCACCCTTCAAAGCAGATTAGCAAGGACAATGTTGTAATATGGAGTTCAGAAATTCATAATATAGATGTGAAGTGATTGACTAAAGAGGTGGCAGTGATTCCGGACCTCATGAAATTGCTTCTTTTTTGTTTTGATATACTTTAGTATCCATTGCTCATCATAACAATGAAATTGCTAGCATTTTAAAAAAGTAATAAAAAAGAAGAAGAAGAATAGAATGAATTATATTCACCTGGTCAATAACGGCATCTGTGATCAAATCAGCACCGACTTCTTTGGACTCAGAAATAACAGCCAGGTCGTCAGCAACCCACTTCTTCCCATTGGGAGGGGAGATAATATTCGCAAACTTCTGCAAATCCTTCACATCCTTGTGCATAGCTTTCGCAGCCTTCTTCTTCGCCATGGCAAATACCACGTGATCCATGGCGTCATCGTTCATGTAAACCTCAAAGCTAATCTCATCCCTCGCGGGAACGATCATATTGTAAATCCTAGCAATCAGATCGTGCCTGCTCTTCAACTCCAACGTCGCCAACAAACCCTGGCAATGTCTTCTGCCGCTCGCGTAAAACTTGAAGGTGGTTTGGCCTTCTTTCAACAACAAAGGGGCATCATCGCCACCGTCCCCGATCCCCAAAAGGCTGAAATTCTTCTCAAAGATGGAGTCTTTGGAGGCGAATTGCGCTGCCCAGGAAAGGGCTAAGCTCTCATTCTCGCGCTTTCCGGTGAAGTAATTGATAGCGAACATAATCAGAAAACTCCCGCAAATGATCTCCACAGTAAAGGAACGCGGAGAAGCCTTAACGTTTTGGGGTTTGTGAGGGGTAGTGGGATCCGAAGAATTATCGAGGGATTTGGGATCAGTGGGAAGCTCAGGGTGAGGTTGAGGTTGAGGGTGTTCGATGGGTAGGCCTTCGAATTCTTCGTCGTCCCAGAAATCGAAGGTGGTGGTGGTGGGGATGGGGGTCGATGAAGGATTCGGAAGATCCGAAGGAGGGGATTGGGGATTGGGATCGGATTTTGGGGTGGTGGTGGTGGTGGTGGTGGTGGTGGTTGTTGTGGTGGTGAGGGGTTGGGAGGGCGGTGATCGGAGAGAAGTGGGATCGATAGATGGGTCTTCGAAATCATCGTCTTCGGCTTCGAAACCTTCAAAATGGGAATCGGAGTGAACGAAAGCGACAAAGCATAACAGAACGAAGAAGACGCACCACAGATTCAGATTCAGATTAAGATTTGGATTTGCCATTGACGAATTAGGAGAGGTGCTGCGCTGAGCTTAGCTTTCGAGAGAGAGAGAGAGAGAGAGAAAGAGAGAGAGAGAGAAAAATAAAAGATAATAAATTAATAATTGGATTATCACTTACCAGAGAGTCGGAGTTCATAATACCGGTTAATAGGAATAAATCTTTCTTATACCTTGTTATATTGATGTTTCAGGTTCGGTAACTATCAAATCAAAATTTTCTGTATAGTGTATAATTGAGATAATATTAAGATTGTAGGTACATAACTTATGTAAGTCAATAAGTAAGTAACAGATCACTCAAATATATCAATTATGTTTTTTTTAAAAACCCAATCCAGGTCACTTTTTTCACCAAAATCAGCCGAGAAGCACCGGATCGCATCAAGTCTAATAGCTAACCGATTCAATGTAATAACCGAATCAGTCAAATGACGAGCTTATTGGTTTCAGGTCGACCTAACCGGTCGGTTTGATCCGGTCCAATTTTCACAAGAATAATTTTGTGCTTCCATCCTACCATGCCTTTCTTTTCTTTCTGACTAATGCTGGCAAATGTACTCTCTTTCAAACTTTTTTCAACACTTTTTTTATCTTTTTGATAAATTTTATAATAAAAATACATTAATAGGAGTGTGTAAAAGATTTTTTTTTTGCCTTTTTTTTGGTGAGGGAGCTATAAATGAAATAGAATAGAATAAAATAAAATTATAATTATAATGGTATACCATTTATTATTAAATTACATGTGAACTTATATATATCAAACAAAAAAAGTTATGGTTTCGTTTATGGGAAAAATATATCTTTTTAAAAGACACACATTTATATATTAATTCAAGAGAAATGGAACAGAGAAAATGAAGAAAAAAAATTATAATTTATAATTTAAAAAATACACCACATTTATCTAAGAGAACTATCTTTTAAAATGACAAATATTAAACATTTGGTTTATACTCAGATATACAAGTAAAATTTGCAAGTTAAGAAGGAAAGAAGAAATGCAATTAGTTAGGGTTGAAATGAAAAGTAGGAGTTCAAAGGTGTCAACAGACATATGTGGCCTTTGCTGGGCAAACCGAGACGGATATCTTGGATGTGGAAGAGGAAGATGGACATCATTGTTACCGTTGAGTTTAGTATAAACTATGGGAAAATGGTTTGTGATGTTACATAACAAGAATCTAATTTTCCTACACACACAAGCTGAATTTCACCTTTAATTTTTTTTTTCTCACTTCACTATTTAATGGACCCTACATATATTATAAGTGTGTAGGAAAATAGCCTCTTGTCATGTAACATGACAAAAACAAAACCCATAAACTATTAGCTTCGTCAACGTTAAATTTTGTTTATTTTTTGAAGAAAGAAAGTAGTGATACTTTAGTTTATTAGTGTATGAAGTTTTTCTAGGTCTATTAATAATTAGAAAAAATACATTTTATTATTCAAAATTATTTGAATTTAGTTTAGCCACCAATCATCAATATTGATAATTAACTTAAAATTTAATTTTTTAAAAATTTATATGATAAGAACATATTTTTTATTTTTAAAATTATTTATGGATTTTAATATAATTTATATAAATTTGTAACATATTAAAAAAATTAATACTTTAAAATAAAAAATAATATGTAAATAAGTAAAAAAAAAAGTAATTTCAAAATATAATATGAAATTTTGTTGAAAAATAATATTTTTTATCTATTTATATTATATCATGATATCATATGATCACATTATCTTTTCTGATTATCTGATTATTTATCTCATATCCTCTTCAATAAATGGACCCTTAAATTTATTAAGCTGATCAACGCTAATTTAGGTACATGTTAAAAAAATAATTATGCTCATATAATATCAATTGAAAAGAAAAATAGTAAAAGTAGTTAAGATTTTGATATAACGATATTAGAGAATAATAGAAAAAATAAATAAATGAAATAACATATTGCTTAAAATAAAACCATATGATAAAGGCTGATTAATAAATTTGGGTAATATTTATCTCATTTTACATGAGATAAATAACTCTCCTACACACTCAAAAAGGGGTTGGGTCTCACCACTTTTTTTTCCTCTCTCCTCTTACCTGTGAGTCTCACTTATACTTTTATTTCTACAACATGAGGTAATTTTTTTCCTACAACATAAGAAAAATATATCTCAATAAATTTATAGACTAGGTTTTAAAAAAAAAAAAAAAAAAAAAAAAAAAAATTAAGATGTAAATTTTATTAAGAAAAGATTAGGTGGTCAACTTCATGAATCATTGGTTCATTGGTTTGGCCGTTCGTTGGGTGGTCAACTTCATGCACACCAACACAATCTGATCATTTATGTCTTAGCCTTCAAAAAACAACCTGCGTGTCATGATGTCTGTCTTTCACTCTATCTTATATATGTCTTTCTTCCAATATCAACTTTGAAGTACAAGCAAAGAAAACAAAAATGGACCTAACCCAATATTTCCTCAAATTTCAAATACTATACCTCTCTTTCACATCCCCGCATTCCATTCTCATCCTTCAACAATGGAACCTCAAACCTCCCCTGCCCTTAATTTTAGCTCCACCGTCGACACTTCTCGTCCTTTCAGTTCCGTCAAAGAAGCCGTAGCCATCTTTGGTGAACGTCTTCTTCTTGGAGAAATTTACTCTCCAAAGCCATTCTCAGACACTAGTGCATATTCTCCTATTAAGCGAGAAGCATCATGGAGGTTCTCATCACCATCAACCCCACCAAGTCCCATGAAGCCTAAAGAAGACGAAGGTGTGAATGGCAATGCCCTTTATGAGACACTAAAGAAGCTGGAGTCAGAGCTTGAGAAAACCAAGGTTGAACTGAAGCTGCTGAAGGAAAGAGGGAGTGAAACAGAGGTGGCATTGGCTACGCTCAACGCCGAGCTTCACAAAAACATGTCCAAGTTGGCTCAAGCTGAGGCTGTAGCGGCGGGGAAGGCTGCGGTGGCCACAAAGTCGGTGAGGTTTGAGATTGAGAGAGAAAAAGAAGAAGGCAAAGGGGGAATTATTATAAGAGAAGATGAGAAGAAAAGGGACCATATAAGAAGGATGGAAGACTCTCAAACCTTGGCTAAGATACTGAGTCTTGGAGAAAACGACCACCTTTTCGGAGGGAAAAAAGTGAGGAAGAACATGAAGCATAAACCTATCATCCCTCTTGTGGGGGATTTTTTTTTCAAGAGAAAGAGTTCTTCAACTAATCACCATAATCCTCTTTATGCTTCTCCCTTTTAGTGTATGTGTTTCATTGTTAATTTCTTATTCATGTTTGGGGTTGGACTTAATTAGTTGGGGAGAACAAGTTCAAGAATTTGTATTACTTTGGGGAAGTGTGTCCTTTTTTTCTTTTTCTTTTTGTTTCCTGGGTCTTTGGGATGTGTCGTGCTTGTAAAAATTGAAGTTTGTATCTATCCACATGAAGTTAATGATCAGGCCCTTCAATTCTGCTACCCATTGAAAATTCTGCATATGTAAAAGGGGACCGAAAATATAAGAACATAAACAAAACAAAGGAATCTCTCGCGTTTCAATCAGATTTAAAGGAACACACTAAAGGAATTGGATTATTTCATCAGTAAGTCATTAATTAGGATATCTGTTAAGTTCTTCCTTTTTTAACTTTTTCTCATAAATAAATAAAAAGATTTCAATATTATTATTATTATTATTATTATATCTAAAAAATAATTTTGATAAATAGTCAATTTATCGTACCATAATTACAAAGTAATTGAAAAAAATTAGATTATTAAATCAAAATTGATCATTGGAATATATAAAATATGGAAAGGTAACTTATAATGAAGGATAAAACCAAACAGTTGTTAATCCGTTTAAAATGAAAGTAATCGAGTCCAATCTATTTTAAGTTGCCACGTAAAGTAACAGGCCGAAAAGCTTGGGCTTAAAGAAAAGGCCCAAAACGAAGGAAATGATTCGAATGGCTGGTGGTGGTGTCGTGTTTGGGTGGTGAGAAAGAGAAAGAGAAAGAGAAAAAGAAAGCAAGACCAACGAAACCGTGATTAGCTTTGTTAGGTCATAGAATTTCAGAAACACCACACCGATGCAAGCTGTGGTGCTCAATACACAGTCCTACTGCAGAGGCCTTGAACCTCCTTCATGTTCTCCTTCGTCTACCTTCAAAAAGGTTTCTTTCTTTTTCATTTTTTTCTTGGGGTTTTCGCGTTCTATTGAAATAACCCTTTTCTAATCTAATTTTGCAATTTTTTTGGCTTCGCAGTGTACAAGGTTTTTGGGCAGCCATGTTCCTCTCAGGAGGAGAGGTAACCTGTTCCGTCCTTCTGTTCGGATTCATTTACCGCACTCTACACGTGGGTTTGGTCAGTCACTCTCCATTTTTTCATTTCAACTTTTCTACTTTTTCTCAATTCTTGTTTCAACTGAATTTGAGAGTTTCAAAGCTCAATACTTGGATTCGAATTTTTCACCATTTTAATTTGTACAGAATATGCACATAGTTAACTCACTATTTCGCATTGTCCTAGTATTTTAACATTTATATATATGATTATGATAATCTTTTAATCATTCATGAGGCCTTAGTTTGTCAAAAAAAAAAAAAAAAAAACTATTTTAATTCCGAATTCAGCTTGAAATTTTCTTTCTTTTTGTTTTTTAACAATTGGGACCCGAATGTTATCTTCATTGTTATGCTTGCACAGTTGTAAAGGCCGTTGCTACTCCAAATCCAGCTGTGGAATTGCCATTAACGGCTGAAAACGTGGAAAGCGTACTGGATGAAATTCGACCATACCTCATTGCAGACGGTGGAAATGTGGCTTTGCATGAAATTGATGGCAATGTTGTACGATTGAAGTTACAGGGTGCATGTGGCTCGTGCCCAAGTTCTGTTATGACTATGAAAATGGGCATTGAGCGTCGATTAATGGAAAAGATCCCTGAAATAGTGGCAGTTGAACCAATCGCTGATGGAGAAACTGGTCTTGAGCTAAATGAAGAAAATATAGAGAAGGTTAGTTCTGTGTAACATTATGACTATGTATATGCTTCACTATTTGTTCTGCATGATTCATATTTTGAATAGAATATTCAGGATTTTTTTTGTCTATTGAGTAACCTTACTAGAATAATCTCTTTTCTAATATAGCATTGCAACACACGTTCAGGCTTTGAGACCAATATAACACATAATGAAGGTGGTACTCGAGTCTGAGTGTACTTAATTGAACAAAGAATCAAACATAGAGTGTGAAAAAGATAGTTATTCAAGTTTCTTTGGATTTCTTTGAAACATTATTGCTGATGTACTTCTATGAACCAAAAAAACAAAAATGAATGATAAATACTACTAACTATTATATAATTTTATCATAATTATAGAAGTTGACGGAGATCATTTGTGAAATTCAACCATTTGGGAAATAGATACCCTTTTTTGTTATAATAAAACTTACATTTAAATTTTTTGTTATCCGAGTTTAGATCCCTGGGCTGTTACTCATATTCGTAAACTGTTTAATTGAAGGGACGGGATTTGAGATTGAGTACTAGCTGTTAATATGGGGTTTAGACCTCAATATCAAGCCCTGCATTTCAGTAAAAGAAAGATGCATTGTCCCTTTATATTGTTTAACTTTGAATGTTGCTCTTCATATTGTTGTATGTATAGGATTATGGTTACTGAGACTGGTCTAAGATCTAAATTAGCTTATTTTTCTTTTCATTGGTATACTGAAATTGTAGTGTATCTGCCCGTATCTGACATTCTTATATAATATGGCAAGAAATGGGACAAAAATGGACTTTATTCTGTCTTTATTAATCATTATGTCAAGGTTAATATCATTCTCAGCTGGTTTAATTACTGTCGCCATTGAGAATACCAGGACCTGTTCAGTTCTTGTCTTGATGAGTACATATTTGTGTAAAGTTCAGTAATTTTAGTATGAAATGTTCGCAGACTTTAATATTTAGTGACTGCTTCAGGTTCTAGAGGAAATAAGGCCGTACCTGGTTGGGGCTGCTGATGGATCTCTTGAATTGGTTGCCATTGATGAGCCAATAGCAAAGGTTCGAATCACAGGTCCAGCTGCTGGTGTCATGACTGTACGTGTTGCTGTTACACAAAAATTGCGAGAAAAAATACCCGCCATTGCAGCAGTTCAGCTTCTATGAAATTTTGGTTCAAAACAAGAATAGAACTATCATGGCATTCTTGTAATTTTTCGTGAACAACACTAATAGAAATAAAGTGTTACATGTGATGTATAGTATATATGTAGCCACAGGATGAAATTTTCTTTTCTTGGGTAAATTCCATATATAAATGCTTTTACACAGTGAAAGAAGGCTTCTCAAGCTACTCTTTATTTCATTGTTATGTCTGTAGCTCGGTAATGTCGTGATAATTTTGATATGGCTGCCTGCTTTACATTGACCAGATTTAAGGAAATTCGTAAATATATACTGAGATCATGAACATAATGTCACATATCAACACGCATCATGAATACCTTGATAAAGGTACTCTAGATTCTGGACTGCCTAATTTTTTTTAGAAATGAAAGAATTTTAATGTATCTGAGCAATTATTTGGTTTTTTTATCTATCTTTTCTTTTAAACAGTCAAGTGGCTGGAAACATATATAGATTAGATGAAAGAGAGATTTTTTCTTTTAATATTACCTTGCAAGTTTTGTTTTTCTCCTTTTACGTCACCTTGTTTCAATTTACGTAAACGAGTGTGTTTTAACAGTTGCGCTCAATTCCCTGCATAATACACTCGAGCAGAATCATTGGTTCAAATACAGTCGAGCAAGAATATAAACTCTAACTGGGAAGAGATTCCTTTTCTGCCAACGATTGTATCTTAATCGTAAAGCTTATCAGGCTATCATTCTATGAGAAGAGTAAGAAAAAAGTACGTTAAAATATCTGAGCTGTAGTCAAGTGGCACTACAACTCTATGAGATTACTTGAAAACGAAATGATTGCATGTTTTAGACAACTATCCAGGTCCCATGTTCGAATCAAGAGTTTTTTGTTTTTTTTCTTTGGACGGGAGAACGGGGAAGCTTCAGTACAAAGTCAAAACTGCAAAATGCTTTACATAGAGTCAATTTTAGTACAACAAACAGTAATGTCACATTCAATCTCACAAAAATAAGGCATTCATTAGATGCCCTAAAATAATTGGCCCCTAATAGGCATACATAAATTGCATCAAAATTACACTTCCATTTCAATCGCATCGAAGTTTTTAAAATATAAATCCCAGCAAAGATAAATGAGAAACGAGGAATACAAATTTTCACACTGTATTATATATCGAGCGATTTCCCACAAGCATTTCAGAAAACTAGAGCCATAAACACGCTCACCAGGTGCCTTCATTCGGGCCAGCAGCGCTTTCTATTTAATGGAGGAACAAATTTGGTAATGAAGTTACGAGCTTCCCTACTGTATGTTATCCGCCTATCACATCCATGTGTTTAGTAGAATATCCATATTTATCTTAATGACAGTAAAGTTTAATCAGTTTATCGGCACCAGACGTAAATAACCAGGGTTGTCTCGGGTGAAATTTACAGTCCAATATTCCTGCAATGCAGACAACTTCCAAGTAAGATTAAGAAAGATCTTTTTCAAATGTTAGCATATAGCTAATTATTTTCAAATACTTTGTCAAGTAAGAAGGACAAGATGCATAATGTAACAGAAAAATGAAGAGGACAATACATCAAACATAAATACTCAAGGTTGGTTGATCAAACCTTTGATAATTATTTCAACAATTACACCTAGAAAGACCATATATCTTACAAGCTGAACTCAACTTAGCCTCGAAAGCTGATTCAATTACTTGGCAAGATTGGACTATTTAATCAAACTCTATGTATATCTCTTTTTTGTGGTATTTTTACACATAGTCCAATCATCTGCAGGATTTTTTTCATCTTTCTTTACTTTGGCTATCCCAATGAATCAATCATCTATACAGCAATTTATAAGGACAGAAATAAATGTACACGAAAGCAGCAAGTAGCATTATATCTATCCTGAGGACAAGGCTACGCCAATAATAACAAATCCTACTGATATTGTAGTTAAAATACCTAACTGATTTTTTTTTCTAACGTTGACTTGAAACAAGATTTGCACAAAACTGAATCTCAACTTAACACTCAAAACATAACAAACTCATAAACAGCAGGTCTCACCTCTGCCATTTGAATGGGTATGGCCTCGTAGAATTTCCAAAGGAACAATAAGAGGGTTTTGATTGAGATCAGAATAAACCATTCCGTGAAAAATATATGCAGAGCAATCATCTGAGCATGAAGCAAACAAGGGGTATGAACGATGAAAGACCACATTGTTGATATCTTTTGGGTGACACCTGCATTGTTACCAAATTATTAACTACAGTCTGTATCATGGCAATAAAAAAATACATAAAGTGAGGTTTCTTATCCAAAATGTTGCAATCAAATAACTAATAGGTCATTCAGGCATTGAAGACGTTCACCAAGAATCTACAAACAAAACACGGTAACCCTTTCTGTTCTCTACTAGTTGTTAGTTTAGCCTTTTCAAATAACATTTGTTCTTCCCCAGACACGAGTCTTGCTAATGCTAAAGCACTGGTTACGGTGTCATAAATCCAAAATTCAATCAATAATTGACTGAAAAAGTAAGCAGACAGCACTATTTTCAACATAAACTAAATGCAAAGAAACCAATATAGAAGTCAAACTTCCATTTTTAATATATAAAAAATTATTACCAGAATGTAATATCAACAGTTAACACAAAAGTTAACGCATTCATCATAGTTTACTAACCAGCACATACATGCCCACACAAAAATTGGTAATCGACAGAAATAATAAACTCAAGTTCTACAGTGCATAAAGAATTTCTCACAGGTCCCTCTTTCAAGCAATTTCCTATTGTTTCAGCCTTAACGCAAATTATTTCCTCCTTGCATTCAAAAAACCTTGTAGCACACACAAACTGTATGATATAATCTGCATTAGGAAGCAAAGAACCACTCTGGCACAGAGGAGTGCCATGTAATGGGTTTGGTGTTGCTTTCAATTAACTAATACAAAAAAGACTTACTTAAGAATTTTATACGGTTTAGATGAAAGGTCCATGTCAAACCAACACATCTTCCCTTCTTTGCTCCCTACAATCAAATTATCACCTGCATGGAATGCAAACAGACAAACAATTATGATGATTAATATTCTGTATTTATGACAAGAAAACAGAATAATAATATAACTTTTTCATAACAATAACCATACCTCCAGGATGAACTGCAATAGATGAGGCTTCACGGAGCCCAGTATCAAGCTTTTTTATGAACTTGGTCTTCAATAAATCATACACACGAACACTCCTTTTTGTACAAATAAAGAAGATGGAACGGGATGGATGGAAGGTTGTTCTAACAGCCAGTCCATGTAACTTAAATGGAAGTTTTTGTGTAAGCTTCTTGGATAGCTGGTGGATCAGAACTGCTCTTGATTCACGTAAAGAACGAGTCAAGGTAAAAAAAATAAAAATGAGCCAAGCCCTATTTTATTATCAATACTAGGTTTCCGTTCATCCACTTAACACAATAAATCAGCTAAAAACTTGATACTCAAGAACCAGTTAATATAGTTTGTTTTCTATAAGGTCCATGGATCAAGTATCCACACAATCATGAATGGTTGAAGATATGACATGGGATGGGTGGAATGTCATTACAAATAACACCTCTAAGTCTAAACGGTTCTATTTATGCTAATTAGATGGTCAAAAGCCAGCCATGCATCATGCTGTACTGAACAAGATAAGACTACTGACTAGGTATATTGCAATAACATACATGTGCAATGAAAAGCATGTGCACCTTCATGTGCACTATTGTCATTTCAAATTATAAAGAGAAGTCAGATGGACACCCAACAATAAGCTTATGAAAATTTCAAAAGCATAACGATTATAAAAAAAAGGAAAAAATGTGTGTCCTTTTAAAGGACAATAATTTAGGTCCTTTTAAGAGAGAGATAGACGGGACTCACACCTCTTTGTGTCTATCTCTCTCTTAAAAAGACCTAAGTTTGTGTCCTCTAAAAGGACACACACTTTTCCCATAAAAAAATTGCACAAACAATCATCATCACTTTAAAATATGTTTTTGCAATTTTACAGCATTCGAAAAGGATATCTGCTGGCATTACTGTCGAGAAGTAGTCACCTTTCCGGTGCCATTCAACTGCAGTAACAGTCTGCATGATCACATCCACTAATGTTTAATACAATTATACTCAAGAACTTCAATCAATAAGCAAACCAAAATGAAAATGAAGACAAGTATGGAAATACCTTTAAATGCCTTAACCTTATACCCGCATGTTTATCATCTTTAAGCCAGCTTACACTAGGTACTTTGGTGCCTGTAAACACAAGTGTGGTCAGAAAAAAAAAAAAGAACAACCAGAATGGGACATCAGAAATCATGAGCATTTCTGCAAATATCAAGTCAATATCATCCCACAGTGACTAGTTAGCTTTAAATTCTGAGCTGACCTTTTTTTTCTTTAATCAGAAGTTTAGTTAGGGTACATAGGTCAATTTGAGAGTTGGGACCCCTTGGATGGAGTTTTCTTTTGAATACATGTTTATACTAAAACCAAAGAAATAAGTCACAACAACACTAACCAGAGTCATCTGATGCTATTGATGAGTCAATCCAGAGAAGCTCCTTAATCCTTTTCTGTTCTTCTTCATCCCCCAAACAAGTGTTCAATAGAAGTACATCTTGTCCCCTAAAAGGATGATTTTCCATTGATTTATTTTTACAATCAAGCCATATGTAGATTAAAGAGGAAAATTCTAAGATATTCATAAATAAATAAAAAATAAACATGAACTTTTACACTTATAGACAATGAAACCAGACTTACAGAGAAACAGCCAGAATATGAATATCAGGCAGAGGATTCCAAGCAACACAATTAACAGCTTCACCAACCTCCCACCGCCTAAGACATCTGCCAGTTTCAACCTCCCAGATACGAACAGTTCCGTCACTTGAACCTTTGCAGACAACAAAAAGTGAGGAGATCCACCTCCATCCCTTCTTAATTGAAGCCAAAATATATATTATCAACATCCATACCTGAAGCCATCCACTGTCCTGAAGCTTCAACAGAAATTGATGTAACTGCATCTTCATGGCCTTTATATTCGATATAACAAGTTGTGGGATAAGGCTTAAGCTCCTTTCGACTAGGAAGCTTTGGCTTTAAAGATTCAGGATCAATATTAAGCTAGAACACAGAAAGAAAGAAAAAATTAAATGAATTGTGCCTATTTGAAAAAATAAAAATAAAAACAAAAAATCAGTTAATTAGTTCTTCAATATGGTATTTGACTCACACGTTTTTTCCGAACTCGAGGGCACAAGTACAAATCCAAACAGCGTTCAAAACAGTCCTTCATAGCATTATCATATGCAGGGATGCTTCTCATAGAAGTAAAGCTGACCAAATTGATATTTATTAGTTCAACAGTAGAAAGAGGGGAGGAAGCAAAAATGCTTACTGTGAAAGCACAGTACCTCTTTGGAATAAACTTAGGTCGGTCTTCCTCATACATCAATTGATAAGCATTAATCTCTTCTTGGGTTGGAATGTACTCTAAAGGAGGATTATATGACTCCTCATGGCCTAAGAAGAACCATGAAATTATTAACACTGAAGATTTATTGGTAAAATTTTTAACTCCAACATTTATGTCACATTTAATACCAGGGAATTTCTGCTTTGGTGCAGGAATGTAAGCCAAATGATTTGCTTTTTCTGCTGAACCAGAATCATCCCCCCACAAGAGATATGGACCATCTTCCTCCTTTGGCTTGTCAAAAGTTATTAATCCCTTGCGAATTGCTCTAACATACTGCACAACCTGTAGAATCATGGAAGTATACAAATGATAAGAGAAACAAATTTGCTTTCTGTATCTAACCAGAACCATCTCCACACTAGTTGACTCATTTCACATTATGTGCCAACATTGAATAAAGGAATACCTTTTTAGCTTCCCACTTCGAAGGAATAAACCTTCTTTTTGGTTCAGGTGCATTAGACAATGGATGCTTGGCATCATCCCATTTAAACCAGTCTACGTAATTCTGTACATTAGAAAGGAGAGATGAAATTAAGGAACAAAATTATGCATACTGATTGTGTTTAAAACCTTAGCCAAGAGCCTAAAGAAAAAGATAAAAACAGATTGAAAGTAACTACACACTGGATATGGGTCAAAGTCAGGATGTGGTGCCCGATTCTTGAGCAGTCTACGGACAATTTTGATTTCATCTTTTGTCAGCTCCACTTCCTCATCATTGTACTCATCATAGATCTTCCGCCTTAAATGTTTAAGAATGCAGACAAATCAAATATGTTTTCTGTATAGGAGATAACATCAATAAAACTAGCAAGATTTTCCCCACAGAAGTATATGTAACAACAGAAAGAAAAGGAAACCATTGTGAAATAACATCACAACAGGAATCATGCAAAAACAAACTAAGTAGATCTATCTTTGTAACCCAACCAAAAAATATTGCCTTGACTATCTATCCAGAGAAAGAAAAATGAAACATTTAGAAAATTAAATACAGAAAAAATTGTCTGTTCATAAATTTTAAGTTGTGAATTTTTTATTAAAAATATTGTTAGATTGAACTTTCTATAACAACAAAGAGAAGCAAAGCCTTTTACCACTTGCTGGGGTTTGCTACATGAATCAAACAGCATCATGTGTTCTATCCAAAATCACGTATTCAGCATTTCAGAGAGGCCATTTAATTCTAGATCCTTTTTAATAGTTTCACTAAGAGTCTTTCTTGGTCTACCTCTGCCGCTACACCTCTACCTCTAATTATTGAACTATCCTCCACCTGATCAACTCTTCTAACTGGAGCCTCTATTGATCTTCTTTTCACACATTCAAACCAACTTAGGACTCCACCAACTTTTCCATTATTGGTCTTTGATAGACATATTAATTATATTGAAAAATATCCAGCTTAACTTTTTATATATTATAAGGCATTTTTATCGTAACATACCAAATCGAAGTATTCAAAGAATATATTGTACATATCGCTGTGCGTGTACTGTGCTGGTGGATGGCAAGTTGCGTCATAAACATTAGGAGAAGAAAAGAATGCGATAATGAAAATCAAAATGAAGAAAATAAGTTGACGTAGAAATATGAAACTAACCAATTCTTAGAATCATCAACATTTGCAAGAAAGTAACCCAATTTGTCTTGCTTTTCTTTTTTCTTAATCTTCTTGCCTTTGAGGTCGTATCCAATATGGGGTTCATCCTCATACCACTTCAAGGGGACATCTCCAATGGTATTTCGGGGAGCCACCTATGAAAAGGAAAAACAAAGTACGCAATCTCATCTTCATACATAGTATGGAAGCTGAATCAAGTATAACAGAAGGAGATGATGACCACCTCATCCTCAGAGGAATCACTCTCAACTCCTTCCTGATGGAGGTCAGAGATGTCACTTCCACCATGTTCATCGTCTGCGTTGACAACGTCCTGCCATGATTACTTTTGAGCATATCAATTATGGCCGAGTTAAGAGAAGAAGCATTTCAACACCAAAGACCTAAGTAAAATGCTAGGTTATTAAGAACAATATCGATGTACCTCATCCTGAGATGATCCAGATTCTGCAGGTTCAAAATCACCGGAGCTATCGTCGCCAGATGAACCATCTTCTGACTCGGATTCGGATTGAGAATCCAGTGTGTCAGAAGAGTTATCGTCATCTGCAGAAGAGTCCTGCAACCAGAAGAGACAAGTGTGTGTCTAGCATTATAATAGCTAAAATTATACATACTCTTCATGAATTGAAGACAATGAATGAAGAAACTGCGAAACTCATAATACCCTGAGGACAGAATACCTCGTAACTAGAGTCGGAATCGGACACCGATGATGAATGATCCTTCTCAGATGGAAATACGGCTCCCTCGTCGTCGTTTTGCTTCATCTCTGTCTTCTCCTTCATCGGTTAGAGAATTAGGGTTTACGAATACTGTGATGTGAAGAGTGTGGAGGGAAAGGGTTTTGCAGTTGCAAAACTAATTCAGCCGCAAATACTTTGGGCTCCATTCATCAGGCCCAATACATACTTCTTTTTTATTTTAGTTTTTGCTATAAATGTATTTTTTATTCTAAGTACCAATGTAATGTGTTTAAATATTAATATTAGCTACTTACCAAAAAAGTATATTGATATTGGCTGTAATAGGTTGGGTTTGGTAGAGTTTTTTTAACCGGTCAAATTTATATAAAAAAAAATTGAGTCTCACCTATTAGAAAAATAACTAACATAGTATTGTTTTATTGTTTAAAATTATAGAATAAATATTTAATTTTATTCTATTTAAAATAAATAATATGATGTAAGTCTTTATCATATTATTTATCTATTTGTCTTAGTTATAGGTGAACTAATAAAAGATATTCAAGAGGAAGTGTTATGGTATATGCTTTACGCAGATGATACTATGTCTTTTGATGGGACCAAAGACGGTGTTAATGTAAAACTTGAATTGTGAAGAATCACGTTGGAGTCTAAATAATTCACGTTAAGCCGGAACAGGACTGGGTGTGAGTTTTCTCTTGTAAGAGATTTAGATCAAGATCTCGTGCATCTACTTGGTCATAGGTACTCAAGAAATATGCTTTTAGATACCTGAGATCCATTTTACAAAAAAATGGGGAGATTTATAAGGATGTAAATCATAGAATTAAAAGATTTTTATGTAATCACACAAATTCCCAGTTAAAATGAAAATTTTATAGAACAACAGTAAGACATGTAATGTTAAATGGAGCTGAATGTCAACCATCACATAGGCAACGTGAGTATAAAATAGGAGAAGCAGAAATGAGAATGTTAAGGTAAATATGTAATTATACGAGAATAAATAAAATAATAAATGAAGATATTTGATGAAAGGTAGAAATAGTATTTGTGGCTGAAAAGATGAGAGAACATAGATTGAGGTGGTTTGGGATTTAATGAGAAGGCATCTGGATGTTTCCGTAAGAACAAAAGTTTGATACCAAGAACTCGACACAAAGAAAGGTAAAGGTAAACTGAAACTTGCTTAGGAGAAGATAGTAAAACAAGACTTGATGGAGTGGTATACAGATTGGCAGACGATGTGTCTTAGGACAGAATGAAAAAAAAAATATAAGAATATTGGAAGGTTAGACCCGTTAGTGTTCCTATATTTCATATCGTCCCTTTTTAGTCATTTTCCTCTTTATCCCCTTCATATCCTTTTTTTGGTAACAATGGATCTCTCCCCTCCTTATTTTCCCATTTTCCATTTTTTTTAAAAAATTGTTTTTTCCACACATTTTTTATTTTTACTTATATATACATATGAGATAGGTTATTCTACCTACTATTATTTTCTGCCTACCTTTGCCTACCACTCTAAAAGACCGTTAGATAATAATCTAAAGAGGAGAGAGAAAAATAAATATTAATTATAATTATAATCTAATGGTCTTTTAGAGTGGCAGGCAAAGGTAGGCAGAAAAATGATAGGTAGAATAACATATCTCTCTCTCTATATATATATATAGACACACACACACTTAAATTTCATTTTTATATTTTTTTTCAATCTCTTCGTATCTTTCATTTGGATTCATCTACCACCGAGCCCAATTAGTTTGGAATAAAGGTATTGTTGATGTTGAAATAATATGATATAGGTCCACAAATAAACTTATAGGTTAGACCTTATAAAAAAAGACATGACATACTTTTTAAATAGATATATTAGGTCAGATTTGATTTGACATAGGTTAAACAGTACTCTCTTAATCCATGGTCTAATCTATTTACGTCCTTATAATAATTATTATTCAAGAAAAATAAATAAAAAAATTAGCTTTACCTTTAAAGTTATTCACAAAATATTATCATTCACACCTCAATTCAATAAAATGTGTAGTCCTTCGTAGATATTTTAAATAACAAAAATTTAATGGATTTGTTAATGTATGAGAAAAAGTGTGTAACAATTAATAAATGTTCGACAATAGGTTCAAAAATCATAAATCGAATTTACTTCATCCAATGATAATTTGGTTCTCGGTACTGTAATATATCATTCTAGAGGGGCCATAGAAATTCTTGAGGAGTGGGCTGAACCTTTAGCCATCACTGATTCCCCGCATTCCGGATTAGCCCCATAACCGGCTCAAAGAGTCGAAGCTCGTGGGGATACCGGAGGGAGCCAACTCGCCTCAAAGAAGTAATTAGGGTTGGGTAACTCAAAAAAAAAAAGGCCAGAGAACATAGTAAAAAAAAATGAATTGACATATACCTTTTTATGAGAAGCATATGTTTCATCCACCAATGATACCATACCAACACATTCATAGCATTAACTTACTCAACAACTACATTCAAAAATAGATTGGCAGACGATTAGAAAAGACATTGAAATCACGAATATGCTTATAATATTTACAATTTTATTTTAATGTTTTCATTTGATTTCATGCAAAGAGAATTTTAAGTCGCACATCATATAAATTAAATATTGAAGCCTTCTAGAGCATACTTGCTCACAGGTTTGTCTAGCATGGACAAAATAGGCGAATCCAAATCTTTTGAAATTAAAATTATGGATTTGGTATTTGTCATTTTAAATGACATAAGTTATGTCATTTTAGGAGAGAGATAGATACAGAAAAACGGAAATCATGGAAGAGAGAAAGTAGGTGATTTTTTTAATTTAAAATTCAAATTTTCTGTGTCTGTATCTCTCTTAAAATAACATAATTTTTTATCATTTAAAATGACAAACACTTTTCCTTAAAATTATTACATAATAATAACACAAAATTATATACTATAGAAATTAAAATTAGATGAGTGTTATTGTATTCACGAAAACTAAAATGTCTTCTGAACTGATTAAACTGATACCAGTCTCAAAGACAAATATTAGAAGTTATATATCCCTCGCCCTCACACTCACTCTATGTGATTGTAGAAAATAGAAAGACATGTTCTTCGAGTAAGGAATATGAGGGATGGGTGGGAGGGGCTACCTAAGCAAAGGAACGAGCATTACGAACCTGAAGGTTCTCACGACAGGATGAAAGTAAGTCATATTTATATGCTCACGCTAAACAGAATGTTTTCTGGGATTTTCTATGCTTGGCTTCGTTATCATGGTTAATTAGTTTAAGGAAATATTATTTTTCATGTTACATGAAATAAATTATATCATGTAACACATAAAAAATGGGTAAAACCCTTTTATTTTTTTTCTCTCTATTCTTTTTAGTGGGTATCACATTTTTCTTTTTGTATATTATATAAAATAAATTGTTTCATGCAATATGAGAAATAATATCTCCTTGATTTAATATGGCTCATCAACATTAAATGGCGTTTGGTAAAAGAGAAATTTTGTATACCCGGAAATCATAATTTTTAGGAATATGCTGGGAAAATAAATTTTCCGAAAATGTTACCGAAAACTGTTTGATAAGCTAAAATATTACCGAAAATGTTAGGACAATTTTCCTGAGGTTGTTTGGTTGATTTTAAAATATTAATTAAAATAATGACAAAATTTACAAAATTAATCTTAATACCAAAAATTTATTCTTTTTTATTTTTGATATCAAAGGAAAGGATAAAAACAAAACAAAAACAATAAAACCAAACTGAGGTCAAAGAGCAATGTAATATAATCTCTGTGAGGAACAAAACAAAACAAAGCGCAATGTAATCTTGGGGAACAAAACTGGGGTCTGTGCGAGTAACAAACACAATATTTCAATGCGCAATGTAACCTAAACTGCAAGTAGTGAAAATATTTGAAACAAAACTGGAGGAACAAAAATGGGGTCTGCTGCAATTTTAAAATGGGAAAAATCAAACAAGAGAAAAGTGGTTTGTAAAGAGGCTGTGGTCGGTGCAAGTAAAACATTTCGATGGAATCGTTGTAGGAAGTTTGATGTTGAATCGTTGATGCCCACAAATGTTTCCATGTAATCACTACAAAAGATAAGCATGTCCATTTTGTATGTGAAGGTGGGATTGAAATGGCTGAGAGAAGAGAGAGAGACGAGGGTATTTTGATTCAAAAATATTTGAGAAATTTTCCCATTACTTGAGAATCCAAATGATTCATTAGCCATATTTCTATGATGGGCGTTCTCACAAGTTCATATAAGCATATGCATCAAACTTCATTTCAAAGATGTCCAAGTCATTGAGGTACATTAATAAAATCCACTAAAAAGATAAAAATTACAAATCCGAATACAAATCCAAGTATCCATCAGCAATTGAACTTAAAATTTCAACCCCCAGTTACAAAAAAAAAAAATTAAAATAAAATAAAATTTCAACCCCTATGTAATAATAATAATTTATTCAGCAAGTTGTTGAATGAAATGTGTTGTTTAGATATACTATTATAAAAAACTTTAACATAAATAATACATAGTTAAATGATATGATTATGTTATGAGTTACATATAGCACTTATTTATAAAATTACGTTCACCAATTAAGTAACAATATGACCATAATTGATTATTTAATAGGGTATAAATTTCACAAAAATTGAACCTAGAACTTGAACCCGTAGTTTGCAAACAATAAAAAAATAAAAGACTAAGAAAACATAAGAGCCTGGTTAATTATTCTTTTGGTTTTTAAAATATTTTTCATAGATAAAATTATTTCACAAAATAAAAGCTTCAAAAAAAACATTTTTGATAAGCTTTGTTCTAAAAATAAATTTTAAAAGTTTAAAGCTGCTCCAGTAATAATTGTGTCAAAAGAGAATCCATGAAAACAAGTTAAAAGAAAACGAAAGATAGCTAAAATATTTCTTATTTATTCTAAAAATAAGAACAAAATTTTAAACTAATCATATTAAAAATAAATAACCAAGTTTTTCTTTTCTTTTCGAGTCTTAATTCTTGAAAACAAAAGACCGTTTGTTTGTTCTCTCTATTGTCAAGAACACAAATCAAATAAATCCAAAGTCACTTTTCTAGCCACTACTAGTCTTCCGGAGAGAACCAGAGGAAGTAAATACAGGCTTGCTACAAAATTTTCTATAATAAAGCAATGCAAAAGAAGCAGCAGCACCTTCTCTACCCACAGTTTTGGTATCCTTGTCTTTTCCAGATTTCCCCATACACTCAAAGCTCTTCTGCGTTAGGGAGCAGGGGGCAGCAAAAGACTCTATAAATTGATCATAAATGGCTATAGCCCAAGTTCAGATAGGAGTTGACGCCATCGTGGAGTTTCTTCATCAAAAATATAAGTTAAGGGTGATATAAGAACTCCACTGCCTCCAATCTGCATCATATGATAGTCAACACGAATCCAAGTATGAGAATGATAGATGAATATGAAAGAAATATGGTCACTGTTTTTCATGCAGTTCAAAATAGCCGGCATAGATTTAGCTAGAATTTTATATGCAATATGAGAAGCAGAAATTTTCAAAAAATAAATCCACTAATTCCATGGAGAAACTCAGTCACATTTGCCACTAGCTGGTGACTACTGGAATCATATAGATGAATAATTTACCCAGAACCGATACAATTGGGTTATCTCCACTCTGTTTAATCAAACAATTATACCTTCCTCCCGTGTTTCCCCACAAGCTCTCGAATATCTTCACCAGATTGATAGAAATTCAAAAAACAACTGCATAGACATTAGTTCAAAAAACTTACCGCTCTCAGTTGTTGTATAGACTTGTATAGTGCTTTCTTGGGCACACATATGACCATGGCATAGTATTCTACTGTTATCTTACCATCACGTTTGCAGAAAACAGGACTTATAGTGGGTCCCTGCAGATAAACAATCAAGTATGACTCTTAAAATTAGAAAACAGTTGTATAAAAATGATAATACTATTCATAATTACAATGTGTAGTATCAATCAATTTTGCCAGTGCAGAAAGCAAATGCTGAAAGGGTGAAGTTCCTCCCCCAAACTGGATTAGGACAGGGGCAAATACTTCATTCCATATCTCACCTGCAACCCAGCTAACGATGGTTGACTCAGTACTCTCTCAGCCACTTCTTCTGCACTGCTTCCCCTCATGTTTGCAGTAACCTGCCAAGTCGGGCATTAGAAAATGAAATACAAAGAACAGCAGACATTGAAGTTAGGGGGTGGGGAATTATAAATTCTATATATGCACCGTGAACTGCCCAATGGCCCTCAGATGTGCTTCCAATCTTTCCAGCATCTCATGTGTCGTTTCAAGTACTCCTTTCCGTTGGATCATCGATTTCCTGCTTGCAACAAGAACAGCCTGAAGAGCATTCAATTGTCAGACAGACAAAATCTGACCAAGCATAATGAGGAAGCAGTTGTCTGATGCTTTTTTTCTTTATTTCTTTCCAATTGTAAAACCAACAAATCATCTTAGTAAAGGTCAGAAAAGTCAATAGTTGCTAACCTGGCTTTCCAAAACAACTCCGCCTTCAATTTCCTTCAAGTTGTTTTCCTTCAGCGTGGTGCCGCTACTTACAAGATCCAAGATAGCATCAGCTATCCCCATCTAAACAGAGCAAAGACAAACAGTTACCTAGATAAATATCATGTTCGCATATGGTGGCAGCATCACTAAAATGGATATGACAGCAATTTATCACTTCATTTTATGTGCAAAATCCAAAAGTTATAAGCAAAACAATAAAATGGGAAAGACTTTGTATGGAAAGAGGATATAATTTCTAACAAAGGGTTCATTATTTGCACCATGAATTCATTAAAATCCTAATGGAAAATCAGACTATAGATGTCGTCACAGACAGAACTCAAGTCTGTTTTGTCATTTCACTAAGACCAGAGTGCAAAGCCAACAGGCCTTGGGCCCAATAGTCAACCACAGGTTCCATCTCGTATCCCTACACTCCTTCCCATGGAGTAAAACAGAAAAAAGAGCACAATGCAAAAACAGAGTTTCAAATGCCGACTAGAAATTTGTAATTCAATCAAACTTCTCAATTCAATAAGGCACCGTGGAATTTTTTTAAAATTTCCTCATTCTCCTGCAACAGAATAAATAGAAAAACAATCTACTTATGCTAGCAGTGACATCACCCATGATCTCATTTTTTACTTAACAAAGTAATGATATCATCAAATCTGAAAACTTTAATAAATGCAGGTCACCATGTCTCTTGCATGAAAAAAACACATTTATAAAGAACATTCAAGGAACATATAATATGCAACTCTTGACACCATATTTGCCAACATTGAACGCAAAACATTGACTGATCTATGCATATCTAGCAACTAATTAATCAACCAGACAGAGTGTATCTGCAGTTCAACAATCTTTAATCCTAGAGATGAAATTTGAACATCATCTGTTTCAGATCCCAGACATTCACAAAATGTTTATCTAAATTTTGGGGATCAAGATAATATTCAACCATGATGATGACTATGGTTGGATGAATCAATTGAGTTGAAGAAACAGAATGAGAAATAGACATAAAGAACGGAATTAATATAAGTAAAAGTATTATTGCTGAATGAGAGATGCATACTAGAGGTAATCCTCTTACAAGGGAAAATCATCACTTGCACAGAGTAAGTCTCAGGAACCAATCAATAACCAAAAGAAACCCTTCAAACAGTAAGATTCCCTCCTAAATACGAAAATATCTTCTGTACTCCCATATTACTGAAGACTAAGTACATCATAGCAAAAAAAAAAAAAAATACACCTAACTTTACTTATTTCACCCACCCTTTATGGTTAATGACACCTAAGTCCTATTTTTTCCTATTTTTAGGTAAGGAGTACTACTCCTGTAGCACTGAAGATATGCTCCCTAAATACATTGACTAACTGCCTCTATAGCAGTTACAATCATTTAGAAACTAAATCCTAAATCCTAAGTGCCTCTATAGCAGTTACAATTATTAGAAACTGAATCCTAACTGCCTTTGTAGAAGTTACAATTATTAGAAGCTGAATCCTAACTACCTCTGGCAGTTGTAACTTCTCACACTATTTTCTTAGTCTATCTATTCCTTGGAGAGTACGAATTCTATGCTACTGGTATATTAAAATACTGGTGGTATCACATGACTAGTATATTAAGATATACCACAAAGATATAACACATATGAACAACTATAGCAAGCAACCTCCTCCCAAACTCCAGCCGTGACGGGGGCAAAAAACAATTGTTATAACACACAGTAGTCAATTATATGTTTGATAATTAGAAAACTTAAATGAACAGCTTATAATAAAATAAACAGTGTCTCTTACCGCAGGAGCTGCCTCCAATGCTCCGTCAGCAGTTGAAAATACCACGTGTTTAAGACCATTCTCTTTCATAAATTTAGGACCAAGCTGAACATTAAGAATGAAATTCAAATCAAATATTCTTTTTATAAAAGCTAACAATAGAGATCCTTCCACGGAGATAAAGATTAGAGACATTAATTGAACTTGAAAACATACATAGGTGAATCCTGTAGCAACTCGCAGAGGCTTATCTTCTGTCCATTGAGGCATTTTTGCTAGCTCCTCCAGTGAATTTATATTTTCAAATATTCCATATTGGGGAATCTGAAACAACAGAGATTACTCTAAGACAATTGATTACACAAAACAAAGACGGCGGCAGAATCTAGTAGTTTCACAAAAATGAAATTTTAACTCACCGCAAGGGATAAATGGCAATCTCCATACTCCAGAGCCTCATGGACAAGGATAAGATCTTTATTACTCTGATAAAGGAAAATTAAAAGATAAAAATTGTGATTCTCGTGTATACCTTAGAGAATTAATCTGCAATCACAATTAAGCTCGGGGAAAGATAAATTTTCATGCTGGAAAATTGTGATATAAGTTAGTTAGGCCACATACAACAATGAAAAAAAAATGTACACGAAACACTCAAGGAAAATGTCAGAAGAACAGTGAAGTTTTATTACTCTAATAGGCGAGAAATAAAAGTCGCTATTAGATGTAAGCACCAATAAACACAAGGGAACCTTTGCTTATATTGTGCAACAAATAAATCATTTATTGAATATAAATTGGGAAAAACTATTCTTATGTCACATGACATAAGTTTTCTCTCCTACACACCCTTCGATAACTGTGCCATCTTTTTCTTTTCTTTTCTTTTATTTTTTCAGGTGGTGGAGCCCACTAGTTTGTCTCTATAACATGAGATAACTATCTCCTTTAACATGAGATTAATAAAACCCATATAAATTATTAGTGAAAAATCAGGAGTCCTCGTTTTAATCAGCCAGATAAAGTTCGTATACATGCTCACCTGGCCATATTCACTGACAGTATCAAGTCCCACGATACCAAGGTCTAGATCTCCGGATAACAATTTTCTTACAATGTCTTTAGGCCTTTGAAACCAAACTTCCAAGTTGGACAGCTGCAATGTAAGAAAATTGATTTCTGATCATGTAATTGTAGAGCACGAGGGCAAATAATTAAATCTACATGTGCTAATCAACACGACAGGTATGAATAACTTTTTAGGTTTCTTATACCAAAACAGCTTCAGATAGCATGACATGAAGTGGCACAGTGGGATAGGAAACAGCCACATCAAAAGCCTACGCTTAATTTAGTAACATATAAGGAGGATTTGTAAATCACACGTGGGCTCTCACATGATAGGTGTGCTCTTAAACTATGCAAAACATATTTGTTGGTGTAACATTAAGTTATTAAGCTCGAAACTATGGAATCTTGAAAAGTGAAGGGAAAAGGAGAACGCACCTGAGGAATTTCGGCAACATACTGTCTGGGATTGACATGCTTCACTGACAATTGACAATCCTTCAAAGGCAAAAGCAGTTAAGAGTGAGTTACAATTAGTGTAGAAGATAGAAACTGCGGAACTGAATAGAAAAACTCAAATTCTGAAAATTGTAATTGCACAATAAAAGGCGCCAAGTCAACCCTAAACATGCTCTAATTAATTAGTTGTACCTGATCCCCGATTTCATAGTAAAATTTGGAAATGTAAACAGTTAGGGTTAAAAAGAAGAGTACCTTGAGAAGTTCAAGGGTGTCAGAAGACATGCGACCTTTGCTGGGCAAACCAAGACGGATCTCTTGGCGGTGGGGGATTCTATCAGTACCATTAAGGACTTGAGCCTCAGGCATAGAGAGTGAGGCATAGCAGCACCAAGTGGCAGACTTCACGGACGCGTGGAGAGGAAGAAGAAGGTGGCTCATCGTCAACATTGCCACTGATTACAATAATGCCACCAAACGCCGCCACAAACCTTTGTTATGATATGATGTTAGTGAACAATAATGCCACAGTGCCAACATGTGGATATCCCTCTCCATCTTGTAATTTTTTTTATTATTATTATTATTACGAGAAATAATTACGAGAAATAATTATCTCATGCAAAAGAGATAAAATAGAAGAGTTCATATTGTTTTTTTTTTTACAAATAATGGACTCCATTATTTTATTTTTGTTTTATGAAGTAATTATATCATGCAACATGAGATTAATAGATAGTGTACTTTTGGCATCTTGTTAAATGAACTATTCACTCACACTCCATTAGGTTAATTAATTTTTTATTTTTCTTTTGGACGGAACGTTGGGATTCTTCGTGCAGTATATTCGCCGTTTGAAAAGCATCACATATTTCACCTGTGGCCTACTGTTCATTTCTTGGATTGTGGAATTATAAATAATTTGGTTATCCTGAATAATAATCCAATCAATACTTAATTTTTAGTTTTGAAATTATTAAAATTTTATTTCACCTGATCCTTGGAATATGATGGTGTGTAATGTGTACTCATTTTTATTTCTATAATATATTCTACTGAGTTCAAAAAATATATACATTATTTCACTTATTTTAAATATCTCTGTTTTTTAATAGATTCTCTCATGTTGCGTAACATTCTTAAGATGATATGAATCAAGGAAGCACGGACACTTGTAAAAACAGAAGAGTCGGGTCCGACACGCTCTGACACAGCGACACGGTGTCGGACACGCGGTTGACTTTTTCCGACACGTTGACCATTCCGACACGCGAATTTGACCGTGTCCGACACGGTCAAATGGCATTTTCGTAAAATTTTTATTTTTTTTTAAATTTTTTTTTAAATTTTTTTTAAAAGTTAAAATATATTAATAAAGCTTTCACCTGATCATATCAATTTTTTCCTTTTTTATTTTTTCCCCTTAAGTAGATAAGAGATCATCTCAGCATCATTGTTGTCAATTCCTATCACGCTCTTGTTGTATCTTCTTCTCTCTGATCTCTCTCTAATATGATTTGATCTCTCTATCTGATATTATATCTCTCTCATCCCAGTTCTTATTTTTTTTATTAAAGCTTCCATCTTTATAACGTGTTGATGGGTATTATTAATTTGGTTTCATTTGTTTGTTAAATTATTAAATATTAAATGAAATATACACTATATAAATTAAAAATATTATTTAATATTAAAACGTGTCCCAACGTGTTGAAATCCATAATTTTTTAGGATTGACGTGTCGGAGTGTCGTGTCGTGTCGTGTCGTATCACGTGTCGCGTGTCGTATCGGTGCTACATAGATATGAATTATCCATTAACAAATTAACTGTAAATATATGAGAGAAAAAATATTAAAACAACGCGTCACTATTAATTTATTTATGGGATTATGGGAAATCGAGTTTTATATTAGAAAAAATATTTATCATTTTAAATTGTCATTTGGATATGTTTTAGATTTTCTCTCATCCACCAAATCAAGGGGAGAGAGTAAGAGAGAATATTATGAAGGAGTGAGAGCATGTGTTCAAATCTTTCCAGTATCATTTTTAGGAACGGTTTAAAGTCTTAATCTTGGACTCGCCCTTAATCGAATTAGTTGTGAAGTAATGAACCGATTGAAATATTTCAAAAAAAAAGAATGAAAGTAAAAGCTCACAAAATATAATTGTTTCACTTAAAATAATATAAAATGATGTCATTTTAAATAATAAATATTTTTCCACACATATTTTCTTAAATATTAAAGAGGAATTTTTAACTAATTGATAAATAATTGATTTTTCTTTTAAAAAAATAAATAGAATTATAGAAACACTAAACCAAGCCCTTCAAAGTGGAGTTCAAGCCCCTAGGGTGTATGGACTGTATGCAACATTTTTTCAATCACAATAGCACTTAAAGGGGACTCGGTGGAGAAGTTGGTAAATAGGATATTCCAAAGCCCAGCATCAATAAGTGATATCAACCAAACATTGATTTGCCTAATCCCGAAGGTTGACATACCGGAGAAGATAAAACATTTTAGGCCGATAAGTCTATGTAATGTAGCTTACAAGATTATCACAAAGCTTATAGCTGACAGGATAAAGGAGCACATGGTCAATCTCGTGATGCCCAATTAGTGTAGCTTTATCAAAGGAAGACATGGTTCAGACAATATTATTATTACTTAGGAGACTGTTCACTCCATGAGAAACAAAAAAGGGCATAAAGGATGGATTCCTATTAAGCTCGACCTGGAGAATGCCTATGACATAATTAACTGAGAGTTCCTTGAGGAGACATTGAGGGACATTGAACTGCATGAGAATGTAATTTCATTGATAATGTGTTGTGTCTCCACATGCACTATGAACGTACTATGGAATGGAGCCATAACGAAAGAGTTCAAGCCTACAAGAGGATTACGACAGGGGACCCACTGTCTCCATATTTATTTGTGTTGTGTGTGGAAAGATTAGCGCAAATGATAAACTTGGCGGTGAATCATAAAGCTTGGAAACCGATCTATTTAAGAAAGACTTGTCCACCCATATCACATTTGTTCTTTGCGGGTGATATTCTCCTCTGTGGATAAGCATATGTTGAACAAGCTGAAATTATCACCAGGATCCTGGATTGCTTTTGCTCTTCCTCTGGACAGAAGGTTAGTCATGAGAAAAGTATAGTGTTCTTCTCAAAAAATGTTAATCATATCAGAGCCAATGAGATTTGTCGAGCCCATGGAGTCAACATTACAATTGATCTCGGTAAATATCTCGGAATTCCCTTGCATCACCGACGTGTTGGGAGAGCAACCTTTAATTATATAGTTGAAAGTGTGAGAAATAGGATATCTAGCTGGACAAAATCCTCCTTGTCCATGGCTGGAAGAATAACACTAGCAAGGTCAATGCTGACAATGATCCCAATGTATCCTATGCAGACCTATCTTCTGCCTATCTCTACATGTGATGAGATTGACAAAATTACAAGGATTTTTGTGTGGGGTTCGTCATCTTCTAGTAGGAAGCCCCATCTCGTCGCTTGGAATCATATTTGCCAACCTAAGGAGGAAGGTGGCCTGGGGATGAGAAGCATGCGCGGAACTAATAGAGCACTCCTCATGAAGGTGGGCCATGATCTCTTGACATATAACGATACTATTGGGTAAGATTGTTGCAGTCAAAATACAAATTCCCTCATGGTATGATCCCTGCATACCTCAACCAAATGATGCATCAAATCTTTGGAGAGGGCTGATGTATGTTTAGGAGGATGTGATGAAGTGCTCAAGGACCCTTTCGGGAGTGGTCAGCTGGTGAAGTTTTGGTCTAATCGTTGGGTCCCAGGTTTTTCTCCTCTTGAAGGCTTCGCATTGTTACCAATTCCCCACGATGAACGAGATTGGACAGTATCTAGATATGTGACACAAGATGGTGCGTGGAATAGGTTTTTCTACTCTTTCATTTTTTTGATCCCATGTTGTACAAGAGTAATTCTCTCTTACTAAAGACACAATCATAGGTGAGACCCACTCATTTTAAAAAGGGAAAACTTCAAAAAACTCCTATAAATTTCTTCAAAATCACTTACCCCCTCCCCAAAAATTTTAATCATTTACACCCTTACTTAAATTTTTTTACCACTTACCCCCCTAACTTGATTTTCCATCCAAATTAAAGTTAATGGTGTTAGTCTTTTTAAAAAATACCAAAACTACCCTTAAAAAAGAATTAACCCCTCGACACCTTATTGCTAGCAAGAGATAACAAACTATCGTCAATGATCTACTGAAAACTACCATTCAAGTAACATGGATTTGTTTGTTATCTTGTAATTTTTTTCCTGCCCCACTATATGTTTCACCTTTCGTTTGTCAATGAACCGATTTTCAATGCTTCCATATATTAATTAAAGGACCAAAGGTGTAAATATTTTCAGCAAGTAAAAAAAATGGACAGCAAAAAAATCAATTAAAGGACCAATTTCATTAACTATTATTCATAAGATAACATGTCTTGACAGCAAAAAAATGGGTTTCCAAAAAATCTGGAAAAATAACAACAAGCTTATTGAAGAATATATACACCAATTTCATTATATATACACCATTCGCTGATTGAAGAATATATATACCATTCGCTAATTTATATATATATACGCTTATATATATATAGACGCTGATTCAATATATAAATATATACGTTGATTCAAGAACTCGTACGCTTATATATATATACGCTGATTCAATATATATATATACGCTAATTCAAGAACTCGTAACAGCGTCTATATATATATATATATATTTCGCAGATTCAAAATTTCACATAATTCGCAAAATCAAAAACTCGCAAATGGTATATATATATATTCAAAATTTCACATAATTCGCAGAATCAAAAACTCGCAAATGGTATATATATATATATATATATATATATATATATATATATCAGTCCAAATACTCAGATAAAATAGGCTATTTGAATGACATGACTGTTCGTATTCCCCACAACTCTTAATTGCTAAGCCTTTTCTTAAACCAATAGCCTGTTGATTCACCAATGGACTTTCTCTCCCATCAATATTTACCATGCTGATTGAGAATCCCAATAGTCATCAAGGGTATTCGTCATTAAAAGCCCTTTCGTTTCCAATGTAACATATACCAATACGAAATTATTGCAAAACGTGAAACAAAAAATGAATTTGTATTGGTTGTTGGAATTTTAATTAGTTTTCGAAAGACATAACTTGAATCGTCAATGTGTCATTATTATGATACAAAAAAAACAAACATGTAAAATAATAGATTTCCAAGCGAAAATAAAAAAACAATACAAACACATAGTTCAACAAAAAAAGAAGACCAATACAAACACTTAAACTCTAAACACATAGTTCAATAAAATTAGACTGCAGACATTGTACAAAACAAATGAACTTCAAAATCTGCCTTGCAAAACAAACACGTAATCCCAATACCATTATTCATTTCATCATCATCCCACCGTGAACG